CACAAAGACTAGCTATTAAGATTTGTGGCTTAGCTATATGTTAGCTCTGAATTATTTCTCCCATTGTAGTGATCAGCAGTAAAACCTTTATTGTGGAAAGGGTCTGCCTAGGAAATAAAAAAAGGAACAGGAACCTCAGAGGAGTATGAAGTGTTAGCAGTCCTAAACTGAAAAGAGTCAGCCTGGGGGTGAGGTCTCCCTGGAAGATTATGAGTAAAAGTAACACACTGAAGTAGTGAGCTTGAAGAAAAAGAAACTGCTCCTGGGGAACCAAATTATCTAGAGAAATGGTTCCCTAAGCTGATCCATAGATTTTTTTTTTTCAGTTAGAGTTGACTTATGTTATATTAGTTTCAGATGTAGGATCCATAGACTCTTGCTGTCCTTATTACAAGAAGGCAGAAATGAGTAAAATAGGGACAAGTAATAGATATAAAACTAAATTCATCCATTTAAAGGACTGTCCTTTATTCTCACGTGATGTCTTCCTATATATTGCTGTTAATAATTTTTTTAAAATGAACTTACTATGAGTCCTATTGGGAGGAAAAACTCTACCAATTTAGGTGCAAATTATAGAGAGAGTAGCTCCCAGAACAGCTAGGGGTAAAGGTTTATATATTGGTCTAATAAGGCAGGGGGGATGGTTTAGAGCTTCAAAAGATGGAAGGTTCTGATGAGTGTTTATACTATTATTTTGGAATGTCCTTGTGCCCAAGGTCAGCACCACTCTGACTGGAGACCTCCTTGGAAGTAGGTGGGGTTTGTGGCAGTTGACTCTCATAAAGATCTGTTCTAATCAGATAAAGGATGTCAGATAAGATTTCTTTCTGTAACTTCTGTAGCTCTGATGTTTTCACATAGAAATAATCTCTTTACCAGTTTAGTGGGTTGTTAATCTCTTTAGCCTCATATTTTAGGGGCGAAATTTTCTCTCCAAATATATAAAATCATGTTTTATTGTAGAGCCAATGAGGTTTAAAAATTGTTAACTTGGAAAGCTGTCAATGGGCTCAGTACTTTGAGACAGGCCAAAAAGGTGCACGGGAATGGCCTTTATGGTTAAATTGAATTTTTCCCCTTTATAGCACAGTGGTTAACAGCATAGAGTTCAGAGGCTGACAGTTCAGAGTCTTCTGCGTGACCTTGACACCTAATAGCTTGTGACCATGGCAATGTTATTTAATAACTCACAATTTCCTTATCCATAAAGTGGAATAATTATCTTTTTTTCAAGGTTGTTGCAAAGCTTAACTGAGAAAATATATGTAAATAAGGCTTGGTATAGTGCTTGCCTTGATATACTTTCTGGCTACATTGAAACTCCAAGTCAACCATTGGAATCTACTAAACAAGTAGTGGTATTTGAAATTACAGATCCCATGCAATCATACTTGGCCCATAGTGCTGATTGACCCTGTTGAAGAGAAAACCATAGGCACATGATCATTTGTGCAAAAGCCCAGGATACCAAACTTGGATTTAATACCTAACCTAATAGCTGTTTCAACCTCTCACAGAAACATAATCTTAATCAACCAGTCTAGAATTTTCTGGTCAGCACTACTGAGGTAATCTGTCACACAGGCCCTCTCCATTTCCTGCCTCTCACTCCCAATAGAAAGAGGCAATCTGCATGATAAAAATCCTTTCCATTCTCTCTCCCCAAAAGATGTCCTGGTCTAAATACAATCTTTTTTTTTTTTTTTTCAATAGCTTCCTTACCTCACCCTTCTTCCTATAAAAACTCCCTTTTGGTCTATACCCATGCCACCCTGAACAAGCCTAAACCTGTCTGATCTAGGAAGCTAAGCAGGGTCAGGCCTGGTTAGTACTTGGTTGGGAGACCACCTAGGAAGACCAGGTGCTGTAGGCGTAAAAAATAAATAAATAAGGGATTGTAAGCTGACAAGGTCCTTGCAATCTGTGAGGTCAACCAAGGATTGCCTAGCCTAAAAAAATAAATAAATAAATACCAAAAAAACTCCATTTTGTGCAACCTCTTTGGAGCTCGCTTTGAAGTGCTAGGTAGGATGCTGCCCAATTCACAAATTACTTCATAAATTTACTCCATTGAATTTTGGTTTTTAGCAACCCCAAATAGTTGCTCTGTTCCCATAGGTCTTTAAAGGCAAAGAGTCTTTAAATCCATTGCTGGTATCCACAAACGATAATGTGATTTATTTCAAGAACCAGTTTCAGAGGGCTTCTGATTATAATTGTTTCCACATTCAAAGACATCACTACTGAGAATTGTTCAAAGCAGCAAGAGTTCTACAAATAGTGGGGACGCTGGTGTTAAATAGCATCTAAATTTAATCTACAAGTTCTTCTACTTACTGTGATTTGAGGCAAGTCATTTGACCTCATGAGGCTTCCCCTTATCTGTAAAATAGGAGATAATTTCTTCCTTTACAAGATGTTGGATGGTTAGATTGAACACAATACTTGGTTCATTATTCATTGTATTTGCAGTTTTGAATTGATGAGACAAAGAATTAGGTAGAAAATGTGTTTGGTAACTCAATCTTCATGTTCAAATATGACAATCACATTCTAAGTATGTGATTGAAAGTGGTTCCTCTAAAGATTTTTTCTATTACAGTTGACAATATTATATTAGTTTCAGGTTTACAACACAGTGAGTATACATTTATATAACTTACAAAGTGATACCCCAATAAATCTAGTACCCATCTGACACCGTACATAGTTATTACAATATAATGACTATATTCCCTATGCTGTACTTGCATTCTTGTGACTTTATAACTGGGCGTTTGTGCTTCTTAATCTCTCCATCTTTTTCACTCATTCCTCCAATCCCCCACCCCCCCTCTCCCATCCCAGATGAAAACCATCAAATTGTTCTCTGTGAAAATGTTTCCTTTTATGTTTATTTATATAAAGTGACAGGACAGCTAAGATTTTTTTTTTGTTCTTAGCTCTTGTATTCACGTCCCAGTCTAGGAGAGACATTCATTAGAGATGGTCCTTGATTAAGTCATTGCAAGACAATTTAAACAGCTGCCTTATTCAATGCATGGAAATAAGTTATTCATCTGCAACTTTTGGCCACTGGTGACATTTCCCCAGAACTGCTCCAGAGGCTGACTTCTGGAAGCTGAGAGCTCAGTATGGGTACTCCCACCCTATGACTGATTCTTTCATGGGCTGGAGACTGTGTAAAGGCTGAATTCTGAGACTGCATTAGAATTTTAAATTATGAGAGACAAAAATGACTAATATGAGTGTTCATGGTTCCTGCCATTGCCATCTCCCTCTCAGTTTGAGGAGTTACCGCAGTTAGTTAGACCAGTTCATTGGACTCTTATGATGCAGAATAAGAATGGGGAATAGGAGACGGAAAGATAATAAGGAAAGGAAGAAATGAGCCAAGAGAGACTCTACATAATAAAATCTACATAATAAAAACACCAGAAAGGGTGGGAGAAGTTGGGAAAGGGGAATAATGGAGGAAGGCTTTTAATTTTTAATTTTTGAAGTGTGGGCTATACACAACACAGCTCAACATGTGTAAATATTAGCCAAAGGTATTTGTCTTCCTCAGTATGTATGGCCCATAGTAATGTCATGTTACTATTGAGTTATTGGACAGACAATAAAAATTAAGAAAAGCTAATAATTATAATAAAAATTATAAAACTTTTAAAAACCCTGTCACTCTAATACATCAAATCTCATGTTTATGTTATTGGTGAAGCAGTAGTATTTGTAGTGACCATTTATTAACAATGCTATAGCATCTAAACACTAATTCCGCCCAATAATACCATCCTCAAAGAACAGTTAATCTCTGACTGTTTGGTGCATTCTTTCGGTGCATTCTTTTCTGTACGATTCATTTGATGCTTAATCACATACAATTGTCCCTAGATATCTGTGGGGATTGGTTCCAGGACCCTCATCCACCCCCACAGACACCAAAATCCATGAATGCTCAAGTCCTTTAAAAAAAAATGGCATAGTATTTACATATAACCTATGTACATCCTCTCCTATAAGTCATCTCTAAATTACTTATACCTAATACAATGTAAATGCTATGTAAATAGTTGTCATACTGTATTGTTTAGGGAATGACAAGCGAAATAAGTGTATATATTCAGTACAGACAAAACCATCACAGGCCTAACTATATAGTCAGCGATAATGAACTTTTTTTCTGAATATTTTCCACCCAGTTGGTTGAATCCTCTGATGCAGAACCTCAGATGCAGAGGGCCAACTGCACTGCCTAAATCTGAGAAATCTCATGTAATTATGCAACAATATAGTGTGTGTGGCGGGGCGGGTGCGGCGGGGAGAGGGGAGGCGTGGCAAAGAGACCCACTGGCTTGGAATTTGGGGAATAAGAATTGTGGTAGTCTGTGTGACTTGGGCAAGCTCATTTTACCTAAGGCTTAGTTTCTTCAACTATAAAATGAGGTTTCTTAAACTAAAATCACTAAGGATTCTTCTGGGCCATAAGGTCCTTATGTTATAGTTTTTCGATAATCTCCCCAACTAAATGCACTTAAACAATATACACTATATTAATTATCTCAATAGTTGTGTGAATAAATGTCAACCCAGATATGATATTCTCTAGGAAGTCTTCTTGGACTGTCTAATGGGTACACAATTTAGATTAGGTGTGGTCTCTGTGCCCCTATAACAAACACTGTGAACTGGTCGTAATATAATTTTAAATAATACTTATTTATCTGTTGATTTAATATTTTTTTCTTCTTCACAAAACTATAAGTTCTCTGAAGAATTTGTAAATGATATAAGTTCAACACTTAAATATAACCTAACACAGGTATTTAATGAAATGAGTAAATGGAGTTCCAGTACTCGAAAACTTTTGCAGTAAAAAAACCATTGGTCTTTTTCAGAAAACCATTGTTACAAGAGGATAACTAATCTGAATCTTGTATTAGTATTAAATTTTAAAGCAAATGTCTAGAATCAAAGTAGACAAGACACACTTTACATAAAATTTATAACATTTATTTAGGCAAAAAAAATTCCCAAAACAAAAATCTGTACATACAATATTAATACCTAAGTGATGTCCTGATTTAAAACATAGCATGATTCACGTACAGAACACTGCCATTCATCTGGCTGAAGTGAGAACAATGCCTTCAGTTCAGATAACTGAGAGCCTTTGAAATGTATACACATTATAATTTCCAATGAATTTTTCATATCTTTTGAAAGGAGTTAAATGCATCCATCAGAATTTAAACAAAAGATAGCTTTTCTCACACTCACAAGTCAATGAGAATTTGACAGTGGGAATTCTACAAAAGTAGAGATTTTTAAATTTTATTCCTGCAGATTATCTGAGAGTAAAAATCTTGATATAACATCCTCCCATTTTTAAAGGGAAAAAAATGTTCTTAAGAATTTCCTGCTTTTATGAAAGTGTCTCAGCTTCCATTAACTAAGCAAGGCTTCTTGCTTCTATTGATTAAAATAAGGTTAAAGAATCCAATTTGAAGTTTCCCCAAAAGTAAGTCCAAAATTGAGCAGATACTATTAATGAACTAGATTTATAATTTCCCATAAAATAATTTTGATAAATTTGGATAAATTTTCTAAATATTCTTAATAGTCATTCTGTCTAGCTACGAAGTTAGGTTGTGCTGTCCAAAAGAACTCTGCTTTATCTAAAGAAATGAGAAACAACACTGATTTTCCATAATTTACCCAAAAAAATTGGGGGGAGGGAAGAAACGGGCAGAGAAAGCTCTTTCTTAAGCTACCAATCAGTTAACACAGAACGTTAGGTTAAGAATTGGAAACCAAAGAATGTATAATTAGGAGTGTACCATGTCATGCAAAGTCTATGAAATACTAAAAAATATAAAGCAATTACTCATTTAAATCACATTCAACAAATTTTCCTATCATACTGCTACTGTCATCACTGAATAAAGGCTGGATTTGCATTATTACTAAAACAAACAGTTTATGAGTTAATGCTAAAAATTAAAAATGTGTCAATACAAAGGAAATGATAAAGATTAAACATTCAACATATTCACACAATCATTTGAAACTGCTACAATGGACTTGAGAGGGAAACCGTAAGTTTGCAAACCTCTCTGTAAGCCGTCTTAGAACACTACTCTGAGGCTCTATCCATAAAGTCCCCAAATAAGTAACATACAGATAAAACTGCCCACATCAGCTGACAGTCTGATAGTGCCTTTAACTTACACCTTCAGTTTAATAATACTGTTTATCCCAAGATAAATGTTGCACAATAACCAAAGAATGTAAACATATCATTAGAGGGCAGTAGAGGGCTGGGTTTCAACATATACAAAACAGTTTAAGTTTGTTCTCCTTGCTACTCAAGACCTCTTTTCAAACTTGGGGAGGGGTGTCATGCATTTTGAAACATTAAGCCCAAACCATGGTTCATTAATCTAATCTACCCTAATTTAGCACATAAAATGTTTTCATTAAAATGTGCTCCAAAGTGCTAGAAGACGGCCCAATGCTATCTTGACTCATGGCATAATTAAAATATAGCCAAATGAAAGTGACTGTAGAGAAAAAGGGCTAACTCAAAAGATCCCATTAGTAGTAAAAGCAACTTCCTAAATTGGATACATAGGACTGATGTTTTTTAAGCTTGAATCCCTGATTCTTTGGATGTTTGCACTCAAAAGAGATCATAAAATTAAATTCCCATAGCACCCTTATAGTGACTCACTTCCACTTTGGGTAATTCACTTTAGCTGACAGGTGCCACTAAACAGTATTTCTGTCCAGAAATGAGGAGCAGCAATATTTAAGGTCAATTTCTGGATTTGTGGGTCAGATATGATTTTAAAAATCCTCAAGTAAGATCAGTAGCCACTGAGTCCTTGGCTAGAGGGTAAACGAAACCCTTATTACTACTTGATTTGTTTCAGCTGCAAAAAAAAAAAAAAATGATTTTTTAGAGTCCAAAGACCACAGCCAAACTTACTTGATGGAAAGGATGAGATGGCTTAATTATTTTTGCTTTAATTTCAGGTTGTTCCTGTTTTACTCAATGATACCAACAGGCATCATTATACTCTAAAAAGTCTAATTCCATTTCCTTTAGTAGATTTAAACCTTGCTGTTGATTGTTATAGTGATATTTTACAATATCTGGGCGCACCTATGATTTGAGCAGTGAGTGGTTCGACCTGTCTAAATTGTGCTTAAAACAATACCTCTAAGCCACTGAAGAGGTAACCTTTGAAGGCACCAAGTACTGTTACATTCTATTATACAAATGCAAAGTGGAGGCCTAAAAGATTCTAACTGTAGAAACAGGCCAGTTACGCCTTATAATTTCAATATATACATCTGGCTAAATATGTTTTAGCCAGATTCAAGACCTTAGAAACAATTCTGTGCCTTAATTAGATACACAATTTTAAGAACCGTCCTAACCATTAAGGCACTACAATTTTTATATATTTGGGACGTGATTAATTTATTTTGCTTTTAAGACTCAGAGGTATCTGGCCAACCAGTGTTCAAAGTAGAAAATTTAAATATTTTTGAGTCTTAATCTATCAACAAGTTATTCTGACTGATGAAAAGATTTATTGTTTTCTATACATTTTTAGCCATTTTTGAAAACAATTTGTAAAGACAAAAATCTAGGATTAGCCTATAAGGAACAAGCACTTTTGTGTTGAACAGAATATAAAAGAAACTTGAAGCCAAACTTCTCAAATAGGCTTTCCCTTAATTATACAAGCTAAGAGACCTGGAAATGGTCAATATAGCTAGTAGCAACTTTCAAGTTACTGTAGGCTACCCTATTTTTCACGTTTTGCCTACACATTAAAATTCAGAAAAAAAGGGAAAAATTTAAAAAAAATTTTTCATTTCCTCTGAGATAGATTTAATCTGTGAAAATTTATCCTGTACTTATAAAAATTTATTAAACAATAAAGTGAGAATTAACCCACAATTTAATTGGTTTTTAATGGTTCTAAATATCTATTTTTTTTTAAGTTTTTATCCTGTTGAGGAAAACCAAACAATTCAAGTATGATTACTGTACAGTGGTATGAAATGTATATGTCAAAAATGTTATCGGCATACTAGTAAACCAGCTCCTTTCTAAATAAAATGCTTCTGAATAATCACTGTAATTTAAACATACCATTTAAAATCTCTATTGAAACATTTTGGCCATCTATGAAAATAATGCAATAATCTGAAATTGTGAATAACCTTATTCAAAAACTAAAATTTTAAATGGGAATTAAGTTTCTTGCTGACTTGCTGCTTCCCAACTTTCATTGCTGATATAATGATAACTGATCTTTTATTATACTGTAATAGTATCTTAAATGAAAGACACTTGTCTAAAAAGTAATCCCCAAAATATTTCCTTTTATGCACTGCAACAAGAATCACTACATTTAACAATAGTCTAATTCTTTTTCATTTTTGGCAATAAAATATGGACATCTTTCTCTAACATGAAAACCTTAAGATACATGTATTTTTAAACAAAAGAAAATTTAACTTCTAATGGCAAAATTTACTGTTGTTAATTGTATTTTAACTGAGCAGGTAACACCATGTGTAATCTCTATTCCACTGAACAAAATGACTTTGAAATAGAGGGAAAAGAATGGTTGATTTTAACAAGAGACATTTTAAAAATTCACATTTTCACAACAATGTGACATATACAGATTTAGACAGTTAATCTTTAACACAGAATGCTGTATTATTTTACACTGTGATGCTTGGGGAAATATTTCTAGAGAATAACCAGCCGTCTGTATTGGAAGCAGCAGCTCATGCTTCCAGGAATAAACATGAAAAACAAATTACTGCTCACTGCCTCAGGAGCGGTGGGCTCCAGAAGGATAGCTGCCCCAATTTAAAAACTATACCATAAGAGCAGACCTTTTACCAGTTTCTAAATCCTATTCTCCCTTAATAGCTTTTCTTTTTAATATATTTTTCTGCCAGCCACCCGGGCTCCAGCCAGTGAGTAACTTTTGCAAGGAGAAGATTCAGATTTCCATTCTTTTACATTAAGAAGGACATCATATAAAAGGTACACAGACAGAGAATGAAGGCATTTTATACAGAAGCAGTATAAAATTTACAACTGAAGCAGTGCCAGAAATCAAGTTAACAGCTTATCTGAAGCTGCAAACTGATTGGAAGGGTCTTTAGGATCAGAAAAGTCTGGCCTAAGGGTTCGTGCAAACTTTATCATAAAACTGTAGAATTTCAAGCATAGGTAAGTTTAAACACTGAAAGATGTGGAAAATTTCCTAAAAGGCAATGATGAAGGAAGAGATCCTTCTTGCCTCATAAGTTAAAAATCACAAGACAAATTAGAGACTGTTCACATGGGCAGTACTATATGTTGTCAATCTCAAACTAATCTATGACTCTTGTCATTGAAACCCCAAAACGTCACAGAAGGTAAAATATTCAAAATTAACCTATCACAAAAAAGGATTCCTGTGATTCTATTACCCAATTACCTATGGCTATCAATTTAGTCTGGACTGGGACTGCTTTTTACAGGGAGGTGGTCTCCCGTGGCGTACAATGTGTTTTTCTAAGCTGTCCAGAATGGCCACAGCAATCTGTTGGACATAGGGATCAGTCTGTTCATGTTCTTTGATGTTGTATAAATGCTGCAACCCTCCTTCCTCAATCAGCATGCTGCAATACCTTGAGGCTGAAATAAAACAAGAGAAAGAGCATTTCTTAAAATACTTAATAATTATTCCATAAATCTAAGAAACAAAAAGAACAAACTAATCAAAAACAGACTCACGAATATAGAGGACAATCTGGTGATGGCCAGAGGGGAGGTGAATTGGGGGGTAGGAGAAAGGAGTGACGGGTTAAAGAAGTACAAATCAGTAGTTGATAGATGGTCACAGGGATGAGGATGCATAGGAAATGGAGTTAGCATTATTGTAATGGCTGGGTGCAGAGTGGGAGGAGAGAAAGAACAATTAAGGGGATCATTTTATAAACTATATAAATGTCTAAACATGTACTATATACTTGAAACTAATAATAAAATTAAAAAATTTTAAAAGGCATTAAAAAATTATTCCACAAAAAGTTATTTTTTCACTTAAATTTTAGGTGTTTTGTTATTGACCACTAACATGCTACAGCTTGATAAATATCTCTGTAATGATGTTATGTTTACACTGTAAGGCCTCACACATAAATAATATGCATACTATTTATATATATATTTTCTTTTTAATCATAACCTTAAGACATTGTCTGGAAAAGAAAATTTATTTAGCCCCAAATCATAAGTAAGATAAGTGCTGTTAAACTTTTATGCATTTCCTATTTTTAAAAAAAATTTAATGGAACTCATACTGTACATGTAATTTTCTTTATTTCTACATATTTTTTGGCCTTTTCTTTTTAAAAATGTTTATTTTTTGTACACATGACCTTTAAAGATTTTTTAACTTTAGTCATATTTATCAAAGTATAATTTACACATAATAAAATAAAATAAAATTCAATCTATTTTTTGATGAGTTTTGCCAAATATATATACTTGTGTAACCACCACCACAACCAGGATATAGAAAATTTTCAACTAAAAAAGTTTCACTGTTCCTCTTTGCAGTCAGTCTCCCCTGCATTCCTCATCCCATTCGACTACTGTTCTAATTTCTATGAAAAAGACTACTTTTGTCTGGTCTAGAACTTCATGTAAATGAAAGCATACAGTATGTATTCTTTTGTGTGTACTTCTGTTCAGCATGATGTTTTTGAGATGCATCCATGTTGTTATGCATATGTAGTTTTTTGTTTCTTGTTTTAAGCAGGGAAGTATTCCATTGTATTGAATATGCCACATATTTTTAATTTTACTGTACTGATGGACATTTGTTGAATTGGTTTTTCCCCCAGTATTTCTTTATATTGAATAAAAATGCTATAATCATTCTTGTGTAAGGTTTTTGGTGGACTTTTCATTTTATTGATTTTGAGGAGATACCAAGAATTTTGAGCAAATGCTATAAGAAATCACCAAATTGTTTTCTAAGGTGGTTATATAATTTTTCCACCCCATTGGCAATGAATGTGAAATTGTTTTGCATCCTCACCGACACTTGATATTGTCCATCTTTTTGTCTATAGGCGGCCTTTCTAGTAGGTGTTAAGTGGTATCTTATTGTGGTTTTAATTTATATTTCTCTAATGACTGATGATGTTGAGCTTCTCTTCATGTGTTTATTGGCCATTTGTATATTTCCTTTGGAGAATGTCTATTCAGATCCTTTGTCCATTTTATTGTTTTATTTTTTAAGGAATCTATATGAGTTCCAATTTTTTATTAAATGTACTGGGGTGACATTTGTTAATAAAATTACATAGGTTTCAAGTGTATAATTCGATAATGTCTTATGTATATTGCATTGTGTGTTCACCACCCAAAGTTAAATTTCCTTCTGTTACTATATATTTCACTCCCTTTACCCTTATCTACCTCCCTGCACCTTTCCTTTGTCCGTTTTAAACAGGGTTATTTTTCCTTTTATTATTGAATTATAAGAGCTCTTTACATATTCTGAAAACAAGTCTTGCATCAGATAATTTTCAAATATTTTCAACCATTTTGTGAGTTTTTTCACTTTTTTGATGGTGTCCTTTGAAACACAAAAATTTAAAAATTTTAAATTAAATACAAGTAAACTAGTTTTTCTTTTGTCACTTATACTTTGGTTGTCCTGAGAAACCATTGCTTAAGCCAAGGTCATAAAGATTTATACCTATGCGTTTATCTAAAAGTTTTATGTGCTTATGTATATAGAAATGTAGCTTTTACATTTAGGCCTATAGGCAATTGTGAGTTAATTTTTATATATGGTATGAGGTAAGGGCTCAAGTTCCTTCTTCTACATGTGTCTACTCGGTCTTCCCAGCACCATTTGCTGAAAAACATATTCTTTCCCCTACTGAATTGTCTTGGCACCCTGCCAAAAACCAATTGACCATAGATGTGTGGATTTATTTCTGGACTGCCAACTCTAACGCACTGATCTACATGTCTATTCTAATAATATTGAACATCTTTTCATGTGCTTATTTACCATCTATGAAAGGTCTGTTCAACTCTTTTGTCCATTTTTTTTACTTGTTTTCTTATTATTAAACTTTCAGAGTTCTTTATATATTTTCAATACAAGAGCTTTATCAGACATGTGATTTGCAAATATTTTGACCCACTCTGTGAATTGTTCATTCTCTTTAGAGTGTCTTTCAAACAGCAGAAGTCCTTAAGTTTGATCAAGTACAAGTCAGCAATTTTTTCTTGTGTTCTTCACCATTTACCACCCCCAACCTAAACACCTTTGTCTTATCAATTTGTCAAAAATTTATTGTTTCTTTATCTAAAAAGTATAAAAGCGTCACTTCTTCAGGTCTTCATTCTCTTGTCTTCACAATGTTCCCATAAACATATAAAAATTCAATGAAATTTGTAAGCTTTTCTCCTATAAAGCTGTCTTAGTTAGTTTAATTTTCAGACCTGTGTGCTCACTTGAGGTGAACCACCTGGGTCCATGAAATGAGTAGGATATGGGAGTATTGCAGCAATACAGAAATAGACTGAATCTAGAAATATTCCTCTTATACCCTCTGAGGCACAAATTGCCAGAGTCAAGGAAAACTTTTTCCCCTTTGCAATGTCCAGCAACAGGCAGAGAGATATCCTTCTCAGAGTTAACAGTTTGACAGAGAATTGGAATTGGCAATTAAAGCAGTGGTTATCTGGAGAGAAGAACCAAAATGATGTAGATGATAGAGGCTCTGTTCATCCCTCTGGCAACCAAATCAAAGTTGTGAATAAAAAGAACAAACTAATCAAAACAGACTCACAAATATAGTGGACAATTTGGTGGACAGAGGGGAGGGGAATTGGCGGGGCTGGGAGAATCGAGTGAAGGGCTAAAGAAGTACAAATTAGTAGCTGATGGATGGACATGGGGGTGGGGAGCATGGCATAGGGAATGCAATTAGAATGGATATGTTGGCTAGGTGGAGAATCAGGGAAGGGAGGGAGCAATTGCGGAGGGGGGACTATTTTACGAATTATATAGATGTCTAATTAATGTACTGTATACTTGAAACTAATTAAAAAAATTTTTTTTAAAAAAGAAAAAACACTGGTTGTCTAAAATGGGGAGTGGAGAGATAGGCCAAAAGGGATGGCTTACATGCTTTCATGAGTATATGCTCACACACAATATGAGTGGGGCTAAAAGAATGTCCCTGCTAAATATTGTTTTTCTGGTGGATCTGGGGAAAAGGGACTGGGAAAGGATGCTGGTATGAGTGTGTAATTCTTGTCAAGGGAGGATACTGATATAATGACTATATCTTTTGTTTTCTTCTTCTTCCCATATCACTTCAACTTTTTAAAATACCCCTACCTGATGCAGTGGTCATAGAATCAAGTCTATGAGTACAAATGCTGGAAACAGGGATGATACTGGAGAATAGCCAAGCGGGCCACTCCATGTACCCCTTTGGCATGTGGGTTATTTTGAGCTGAAGGCAATCAAGATCCAGTAGACTCAAGAAAGATTTTTTACCTCTCAACTACCAAAAGGAATTTAGATAGAGGGTCTGGATCAGAAAAAGAGCTATTACCAGAAATAACTTTTTATCTGAATGACCTATCTGTATGGCAGGGCAAACATCTACTCTTATTATCCTTTGAAATACCCTCCTCCCTTTGAAGCCCCAGGCCACTTTCCCGTTCCTTAGCTCAAGATGGCATATAAGCCTCATGCTCAACTTGCTCTTGGGTCGCATACTTTTATGCTGTTCCTATATACATAAAATTTAATTTTTCTCTTGTTAATCTGTATTATATCAATCCGATCATTAGATCAGTTAAAGAACCTAGAAAGTCGAAGGAAAGGTTTTGTTCCCCAACACTTCTGGCAATCACAAAGAGACCTTCACTGGCTGGGCACTACTCATTCTGGGGCTGCTTCAACTGAGAGATCCTGAGACCTCTGACAAAAGACTGCTTAAGGTAAGAATTCTTACCACATTGGTCTAGATCTCTGCCTGCAGGATTTGATGGAATCTAGAATGGTGACAGTCCTTTTCTTTTTCTAAATTTAGATTAGCAGAAGAAAATTTCTGTGAACTAGCTCCTTGGGTATAATGACTTTGGTAAAAATTTGTTATAAGTATTCTTGTTTTCTACTGATCACTTTCTTCCCAGAGATGGTCATTGTTTCCTTTTGTCTCTGTTGTCTTGTTCTATGTCTCGAGAGCTTGTGGCTTTATGATCATTGAGAATATTCTCTCTAGTCTCCGCCAACCAGAGGATGCATGTACTGCATGAATCTGGTGGACAGCCAAATAGGCTGTAGCTCTAATAAGCCCTTTGTCTGACTGTGCCAGCTTTCAAAAGAGTTTGTCATGAGGGGTCCTGGTCCATAATGGCCTTTGTCATTTCAACCTTGCTGTCTTCTTGGTGCTGAAAAAGTCCCATTCCAGTAATGCCTGTCTGGTGTCACAGATTAGCAGGTCTGAAACTGAAGAATCTCATGTTGTCATGAGAAACTGGAGTTTTTACACTATGCCATTCTTACCACCTGTGACAATGAAGGTCTTAATTAATGTCTCTCAGCAATGCTTTGTTTTCTTTCGGTGTACAGGTCTTGCACATCTTTG